TTAAAAACAATTTTTTATGTACGAAATATTGTTTATTGATGCATATTACTTAAAATTTAAGATTATAAGTAAATTATGCATAAGTACAACTTATTAAAGCTCCATACTTGAATTCGTCTAACTAAATATAAATTACTTTGTTATTGTACATAAATTAAATTATAAAAAATTGAATTAAAAAATTACACAAAAAAATGAGAAATTTCAAATAGTTAATTTGATACTAATATCGATATATTTTTGTCAAATTTTTATGATATCTTCAAACATATATTTTATTCAAAAATAAAAACATTATCGCGTTCTCAAAATCACATAAAGTCATATTATAACATCAGCTGAGATAGAGAATAAAATAAAATATTAAAATCACGATGTATCTCGCTGCATTGCGCGAGTACGCTTCTAGTAACTTATAAATAATTTTATTCGTTATATTTTAATTTTTTTTAAAATTATTCATTCTTTTAATTTTGCCCATTGAATGTATTATCATTTTCTAACTAAATATAAGGCAAAATGCACAAAATAGCAATTACTTTTATAAATTTCTTTATTATAGCATTGTATTTTCAGTTTTTCTTATTACAATAATGTACTTTCAAAATATTTTTTATTAGGACATTGTACTTTGAAAAAATTACCCATTATAGCATTGGATAACCTTTTGATTTAAATTTACCCATTATATTAGGTTTACATGCCATCTTATTGTCCACGTACGTTGTCCACATGTACTATAGTAATGTAACTTTTTTACTACATCATTGTACTTTCAAAATTATTTTATTATAGTATCTACTAGTTCTTATTAAACACTGTATTTTTAATTTAAATATTTAGATATTTTACATATTATTTAATAAATGTATTAAATGAAATATCAATAAAACTAGTTAAACACAACTTATCTCGCTAATATTTTTCAAAAAATATGTGTTTTTTGAAATAAAGGAAAATGAGAATTTTTTTTTTTTACCAAAAAATATTATCTTTTAAATAATATATTATATTTGTTCAAAAACTTTTTACTTGACGTATAAATATATTAAATTAATTAGATTTTTTGAATTATTTATTATAACAATATTAAAAAATTGTAGATAACAATTTATTTCGTTAATATTTTAAAGAGAACTTTAAAATATATGTATTTATTTGAACAACATAAAATAGGAAAAGTTACTTTTTTTACGAACAAAATATATCTCGAAAACAATGTTTCATATTTATTTAATAAATATTTTACTCTAAGAATATTTAATTTGCATGCAACTTAATAAGAAAAAGTAAAAAAAAATTAAATGTTTTTTTAGATCATAGCAATGAAAATGAAAATCACTAATAATAATTTGAAATAGATTTTTTTTTTAATTTTAGTTAAGTCATCAAAATGATGTGTCATCCACATCATCTCATTAAAGCCATACAAGCAAAAAAGTCAAAGGGTTAACCGGTTTAAAAGGTAACAGGTTACCCATTGCTATTATGGATAGATTTTTAAAGTATAATGCCTTAATAAAGAATAATTTGAAAGTACATTGTTGTAATTAAAAAAAAAATAGAATGCTATAATAAGAAAATTTATGAAAGTATGTTGCTATTTTATGCATTTAACCCTTAAATATATTAAACTATATAAATTTTTTATAGGTTAAATATATGAAATAACAATGTATTATCTGTTTTTTTCTTAATTATAAAATCAAAATTCAAAATCCAACTTATTGACTTATTTTGGTGTGACACCGGTAATAAGCACTTTTGAGTGTTTGGATAAACAGATACCGGTGTCAAACCGGTAATGAAGAGTTTTTGAATAAGTTAAATCATTCTAACTTATATCATTTTAACTTATAACAAGTTGATAAGTACTTTTGTTGAAAAAACGTAAGTTGTTTCAGATAAGCAATCCAAAACACCTCCTCGATATCAAGAAATTACAATCGAAACCTTATCTAAATCATCCAAATGAATGTTTAAAATCAATAAATTTGTCAAACTAAGATATGCCAAAATTCATCAATTCGTCAAAGATACACAATGGAAGCATAAAACAAGAAAACAAATCATACACAATGAGATGAATCCACAGGTTTCAAACATGATTTAAACCCTAACTTGATCGAAGAAAACATGAACATAAACAAATATGAATCAATCTATAAGTAAAATTAAACCCCTAAAATTAAAATCAAAGAACCTCATTTGAAAAATCGACATCAATCTCAATCTTACAACCTTTTGGAGCATCTTGAGATGCCGGTGGATGTATCGTCAACAAGGGTATCTTCAAAGTTAGTGGAGGCGTCGGTGGATGTATCTTCGACGTTGGTGGAGGCATCGATAGGGATTTGGCCAGAGAAAGTGCATGGGAAGGGGTTCGGCCGGAAATATCCAATGAAAGTTGACTTTTTTGGTATCCAACGGTTATTCATCCAAAAATATTCACCGTAGTAGTGGTGTGACGCTGCCCTGTAACCACTTGTCTTCGAGTGTGGATTCTAATAAATATATTAAGACTAATTAACTTTATGAGTGAAGGTGACTTAGGGGTTGTTTATCAAATACTTATCCGGTAAGTACTTACCAGTAAAATTTAACATTATCATTTATTTATCGGGTAAAATTTTAGTTCACCAAAATGACATCGCATGCAACAATTTATCTGGTGATCGCTTACCGTGGTAAGAGTCGTCGCTCTCACTTACCGGGTAAGACTCTTGGTTCTTGTCTCGCTCTTATCGGGTAAGATTATTAGTCCTTACCATATTCATCCGATTAGATAATGTGACTTGGTAAACGCTTACCCCGAGTAAACGTTTGATAAACGGCCCTTAACCCAATGTGGTTGCAGGCGCAGAACAAGAAGATTAATTATGAAGGGGAAGATCAAAATTAATAAATTGATTAAAATTTTAATTGATTCCATACTAAGAAAATTTAAAACAATACATGCTAACCCATAACTAGATGTTAATCGTGGATCAATTAGAAAAACTAGAAAAATGTGGTTGTAATTTAGTTTTAAGCGTTTCATACTTGTTGCACATTCAGAAATAAGTGTGTAAGGCGAAACTCACATGTGAAGAAATGTATGATGATATATTTTATCTAGAACCATAAATCCTGTTGTATGTGGTTAAATATCACATTAGATAAAGTTTTACTACGGGTTTCAGTTAGTGTGAATTTAGAACTATGTGGTTTAGCACATCAATTGATATCGAAATAAAGACCCTTACAGAAATAGTGGCGAAGGCGTCACGAGCAAATTGCTCAAGCAAGGACAAACAAGTCATTAGTAGTTTCAACCTGTTCAGGTAACCAATGTTGAATGGTGTTATAGGAAATGAAGATATCATTACTATTGTTGGTATTTTTCTTAATTATGGTATTGTCTTTAGTCGTTCTACTTCTTGAGGTAGAGGCAATTATACATAATTTGCATGCAACATCTTACTCCTTTTAGACCCCACATCCTCCATGAAATAATACTATGATCGCTTGGTTTATGATCATGTACGTGTTCATGATGTTCTTTTTATAACTCTAGTATGCTTGGTATGAGAGGTAACCCTAACAATGTTGGATCATACTTCACCTTGCATAAAATTCTTGAATAAATTTTGAAAGAAATAAGACACATAGTTCAAAGCTATTGACTTGCAAAAACATTTGGTGTAGGAATAACATAAAGTTCCAAGTCATTTAGGGCCAATAATAAAAGATACAACATAGTTGATAATGTCCATCAACTATAGTTAGAAACTATTAGTTTGCGTAAGATTTTTCTTTCTATTTTGACCACAAAATTGTAGGTCCTTGAAAGTATTAAGGATGTTGTTGGATGGTGATGTAAAAACTGAAAGTGATCCAATGGGTTCATCATTCAAAACCTACATCCTCCTCCTCCTCCTCCCTCAATTCTTTCCATTTTCTTCATTTGCCGTTCGAGACATAGGTATAGTCCCTATTAACCATAATCTTATCGTCCATGTTGACCCCCTTGTAAACCCAGGTGGTAATCTTAACGTTGCCGTCGATGTTGACCCTGCTGCCTCTAACCTTGATGATGGCACCATTGGCCCTAATGATGGTGGCAACGCTGCCCTTAACCTTATCAAAGACGGCCACAACGCTGCACTTAACCTTGTCCATGAAGGTATCAACGCTGCCCTTGACCTTATCAACGGTGGCAAAGTCAACGATGGTGGATCTGATTATGCAAAGCCAGAACTTGAGACAAACTTTATGGGAGAATGGAAAATCGATTGCCCCAACGCAGGTGTGGGTGCCATGCAACTACAGCTGATGCCTAACGATCAGGTCGTTTGGTTTGATGCCACAACACTTGGGCCTTCTGCTCGAAAATTGGAACCCGAGGGAAACTGTCCGCCCAACCCAGATACACAAAACCAGCCTGATTGTTTTGCTCATTGTATTGCATATGACTGGAAAACCGCAAAAAGTAGAACCATTGTGGTATGTTAATTCTTACTTTAATTTGTCCCAAATTTAGCAAATTGCGCAATGAGTTTGCATGCATGCATGCATTATGTTTATGTATTGCAGTTGTCGGGAGAACCATGGTGCTCTTCAGGAAACTTGTGGCCTAATGGAAACCTTGTGGCTACGGGAGGTACCTTTAGTGGTGTGAAAGCTGTTAGAATGTTGCCTATGGATGATCTAAAATCAGATTTTATTGAAAGAAAAGATGCTCTTGGTGACTTCAGATGGTATCTATATACATACCCATTGTAAGAACTTAATATATACATTCATGGCCTAGTTTAATGTAATGGAATCAATCACAGGTATTCATCTAACCAGGTTTTAGAAGATGGGTCTGCAGTATTGGTGGGGGGTCGGGAATCCTGGAGCATTGAAGTTGTTCCACCAACACTTGATTTCAAACCCAAGAAAATCGACTTCCCTTTCCTCAAAGAAACATGTACGCCCCCAAAAGGACCAAATAGATTCATAGAAAACAATCTCTATCCCTTTGTTTATCTACTTCCAGACGGCAACGTATTCCTTTTCGCCAATGACCGCTCCATCAACTTTAATCCAATTACAGGAAAAATTTCTTGTGAGCATCCATTGTTGCCAGGTGGTGCCCGGAACTACCCAGCTTCTGGCATGTCTGCTCTTTTCCCACTCAAGCTCATGCCAGAAAACCCCTTACCGCTTAATGTTGAGGTGGTGGTTTGCGGTGGCAACAAGCAGGATGCATTTGAAAGGGTTGATGCAAAGCATGTTACAGAAAAGGAATTTGTACCTGCACTTAAGGACTGTCATAGAATCCATCCCATGAAACCAGGTGCAGTATGGGAGGATGAACAAGAAATGCCTTCAGAGAGATGCATGGGCGACCTTCTACACCTCCCAACTGGAGATCTCATCATGCTCAATGGCGCCAAAAAAGGTACTGCTGCTTGGGAAGATGCCATAGACCCTAACTTTACCCCTATCCTATATTCTCCAGGTAAGCCTATGGGTAAAAGGTTTAAAGAAATGAATCCTACAACTATTGCAAGGATGTATCATTCTTCCTCAGCATTGTTACCTGATACCACCATCTTGGTTGCTGGAAGCAACCCACATCAATTCTACACTTTCAACCACGAATTCCCAACAGAGTTGAGGGTTGAGAAATTCTCCCCTCATTACTTGGATCCTGCACTTGACGACCAAAGACCCTCAATATGTCCACGTCAGACTGACAAGGTGATAAAGTATGGAGCACCATTTAAGGTTGTAGTTAATCCATTAAAAAGCAAAAAGATTTTGGAGCCAGGTGATGTTAAGGTAACCATGATATACCCACCATTCACAACTCATGGTTTCTCCCAAAATCAGAGGTTGATCGTACTTGCGTTAAAGGCGATAGAAAATAACGTTATCACGGCGTTTGCACCACCATCAGGAAATATTGCGCCTCCTGGGTATTATATGATGTTTGTCAACTACCTTGGGGTTCCTGGACCCGGTCTTTGGGTTCACATTGACAAATAGATATTGTTTTGTGAAACCACTTTTTTCTTTAAAAATTTAGCTCATACTCCAACTTTGTATACACTAGTGAATCATTAAATAATCTTTCATGTATGGCCTTGTAAAAGTAGAAAAAATAGTTTGCTATTAAGTAATTAAATATTACTTTTCGTGAAACTTTGATTTAATTATAGTGGTATTGGTTAATTAAGTACTTATAAAGTCGGCTTCACATTGATCATATATCAAATGGATTATGATAATGTATTAATTATTACATCATGAATATATATATATATATATATATATATATACTATCTTATAAACCAAATTTATCAAAAGTTTTAAAAACAATTTTTAATGCACAAAGTATATTATACATTTATGCACAAACTCTTAAAAACAACTCATAATGCATTAAGTACTACTACTTTATGCATTCAATCTTAAAATCTCTTAATCTATAATTAAAATAACATATAATACAAGTTACCAATGCACATTATTACTTTTTCTTTTTATGTTCTCAAGATACTTTTGACACATTTCACTCATGTCTTCACCCTCTCATACATCTATATCTTCTCCTCATCCCCCAATGTGAGATTCAAACTCATATTCACCATAAATTATTAAAAGTGCTCTCATTCATCTCCTATTCAATTGCTCTAGAACTCTCGGTCTTGGTCTAGATCTCTTGATTCTTTGGTCTTGGTGTAAATTGAACACATTTGTGGAGTCATTTAAATATGTTGGATTTTAAATATATTGGATTTTAAATTGTCTTACAATTTTTTTCATCGATAGACTGTAATTGGAACCATAACTCTTATTTGTTCAAATTGTATTAATATGTAAAGACCAAGTGTAACTTATATCATCGTTAAATCTTCTCTAATAAAACTAGTGACACTTCAAAATTGTTAAAATTCACGGCTCCCGCCGCATTGCGTGGGTACACAACTAGTGTGTATATATATATATATATATATAGGGTTGGGTTCACGTGAGACCAAGGGTTTTTCGTGAGACCCGTAAGACCAATTTATGTTCATTGATCAACTTTATACGCTAATGATCTAATGGTCTAAATTTGCACGGTGACCATTTTGTGATTATTCAAAAGTCTCGTGGCAATTTTGTGATTATAAATGTTCAAATTTTAGATCTAATCCAAGGATTGAGAATTGGTCTTACGAGTCTCGTAAAAAACTCTTAGTCTCACATGATTCCAAATATATATATATATATATATATA